GGGCGCAGGGGAGACACACAAAAACTGGTTGTATTGGTCACCATGAAATGCACATAATTTTAAAATCGACGAAATGAAAGTGTAAACTTGTCGAAAGTAAAATGATTTTTTCTGGGTGCGTCTTGTAAATAGAAAATTACATTAATTTTTGATATCCGTGCTAAGTGAAAAGCTAACAAATGAAAAAAAATAAATAAATAAGCAAAAAATGAAAATCAGACCTTGCAAACAATCAAATGCCACTGCAAATTGCTTAGATAAACAGGAAGAAGTTTAATTAAGAAGAAATGCGAATGGGTGTAAATTTTGGATTCAGGGTTACTTCATAGTTTTTTAGCGACATTATGGTTACAAAAGTACTTTCAGGAAAGTTTTCAATATGCTTTTTTCAAAAACATCACATAGTGTTATTTTACTTTTATAATTGGTTGACAGAAATATCTTTCCTCATCTAGCTGTGAGTTAGCTAGAAATAAGTAATAAGACATTTGAATAAAATGAATTCAAAAAAACAAGGACCTTTAGGTGCATACAAATATATATACAAACTGTCATTACGAAAATTGTTGTTTTAGAATATGATTGATTTGCTTTCTTTCTTTTAATGGTAATCCTTCTCTCATGAAGAGTTTTCACAATAATTTTGTAGCCTCTAAAAAAAAGCCCAGTTAAAGGAAGCATTCCCAGTTAGGGGTGCATTAGCGAGGTGTATTTTATCATTGGAGCATAAGTGTGCACGCAATACTCGAATTTACGCTTGGCTTTGATCATCCACTCTATGGCCATCTTAAAGTTCAAATCAATGTAGGTATACGGGATACACCAAAGTAACAAGGAAATGTGTCTATCTTCTGAAAATACTGCGCTAAAGATAACACGAATAATCAACTGAGTGAGATTGAGAACATAAACAAATGCACATTAAAATAGTTTACAATTAATTTGTTTGTATTTTTCATTCATTAATTATCAACTGAAATGGATTCATATTTGTTTTGATAAAGGAACACCTGTAAAATTTCAAAACAAAGCAATATTGCAAAAATATATAGGCAGCGATATGCTGAAATAGCACAAGTCACCTTCAGCCAAGGTAACTATTTACAAGGTTTCTTAATAAGTTATCGTGAATTTTGCTTTTCTCCAAAAAGTATTTATTTATTCATGAATATCTATTTAGTTGCCTTCAAAGTAATCATCTACAGATATATTGCACTTCTGTCAGGTTGTTTTTTCAACCGTCAAATCACTTATAAACTAATTGTTTGTGATTGTTTTTAGCTTCTGTTCCTACGCAGTTTTAATCTGCTTAATCGTAGTGTAGTGATGCCCTTTCATAACCTTCAACAGTTTTGGGAACAAACACATCATAGGGGATCAGGTCTGCGACGACTGCGGCTGCGTGAATGTGTTGTTTTGCCAACAAGCAACGTTACGTAAGCAGGGCACAAAAAAAAAAAACAAAAAACCATCTTCTCGACCCTTTGAGCACATTTTATAACGCCGATAAAAAATAGCTTCACCTTATGCCACAGTAAACATTTGGAATCCGTCCGTTTAAGATGAAAAGTAATCTGTTATTAAATAAGTTGTTTATAAATACATCAATTACCATTTTAGCGCAAATAAAACATAAATAAAAGAAAAAAAACTTTCAAACCATTTAATTCACATTTTCTTAATCTATATTTAAATTTCGCTAATTTGTTGTTTATTTTAAGGTTCTTAAGTTTTGTTTGATTTTTATACGCATTCCACCCATTTCCCATTGTCTATCTTCTAACAAGTTGTTTGTGAATTCACGAGTACAATGACGCTTTGCGTCAATACGCGTCGTATACTCAGCGATCAGCTTGACTCATTCGATAAATACGAGCCATAAATACTTTCGCATCCTTTTTTTTAATTCTTGAACGGAATTGTATTTGAAATATGTACTGTCACTGTGGCATGTTGACGGATGCGTATTTTTAGTTGGCCTTTGTAATGCTGACCGATAGAGCATCGAACGAATGTGATCGGGTGATGTATCCGTTCGTTTTTTTGGCGTTTCATGTAAGTTCGTAAAATTCTGTGATGATTGTCGTCAGCAGAACTTCGTATTTGGCAACTATTGGCAGTCGACGTCCAACTCATTTTATATATTTAATAGTCGATTACTAAACATAATTCGATATACCATAAAATTGCGCGAGTAGGAAATACAGCAAGTTACTAATAATGGATTTTTTTTTTTTTTTTTTTCAAGGAATCATTGATTTTTTGCATAGTGCTGTCACTTAAAGAGTATTTAAGTGATAAGGAACTCCTCTAAGATTGTTTATTTTCTCTAAAATATAATTAGATATGGTTTTTATTTCTTCAGCGAAAAGTGTCATAATGACATACTTTTTTGTCATCGTCTTATTGCAAAATCATCAAACCGTTGCTTTGAAATGTATAGTATACCATAAAGTAGTTTGTTTAGTTAGTCTTTGGACTTTTCAAGCAATCTTTATAAACGATCTTCTTCTTACTCGTTTATGATGAAGAATTACGCTGAATATAGTTAAGATCCCTACATTAAAGCATTGTATTCACATTCTCGGTTGTTTGTATCATAATTAAGACCTTCTTCTACTGAATCCTACCACGTAGCCCAGTCTAGTATAATGTAGTGTTAAACATATTAATGTGAAACTTAAGTACCTATTCTTTATTTGAAGTTAAGATTTTAGTAGAGATCATAAGTTGATTTTCATGTCAAATACTTTCGGTTAATTGTATAAAAACATTATATGACATTCCTGTATGAAAAACCAAGTGGCGCCACTGTTTACGTAGAAATAATGCCAGTGCGGGAAACAAATAGAAAAATCGTGTGTTGTACTATGCTATGGCAAGCAATGTTATCAAAAATATGTTTGTTTTGCACTTTCAAACAAAAAATTTTAATTGTTCGCTTATACGAAAAATGTACATTTCCACTTATTTATTAAGTAACAACATGTGCAAGTTTTAAATGTAAACAAAAACCCATTATATACCACAAATATGTATGTATATATTACTGCATTGTTATTCAGTATTTGTCTGAAATTAGTTCATGGTTGTTCGCACAATTTCTTTAAAGACCTTAAAATGCAGAATCTCTAATATATACATCCGTGTGTATTTGTAAAGTAATAATATTCAGTATACATTTTTTAAAGATTTGATTTATTGCACTGTTTTGCCAAAAAGACAACAAMAAAAAAATAAAAATAAAATATATATTTAAATTTGAGTTTAATTGATGCTGACATTAGCATGGAGCAGATGTTATTGCATAAATGTTTTAAATTTTGAAAATGTTCAGAAATATTTTGAATCTATTTTTTTTTTAATCTTTAAATATAAAACATGCACGGACCAACTAAATAACACAAAAAAATATGTTAAATTTATAAAGTAGTATACATATGTAAAATAGTTAAATAAACGAAATAACAAAAATATGACATGTTAACCAAAAAATCAAAATAATAAAAACTTTCTATTCACCGAAAATTGAACACATTGTAGCAGCTAATTATTACATTTTTTGAATTTTTGGAATTTTTGAAACGAAAAAATGCATTATTTTTGCTTGCGAATTCCTAAACAAAATGCAAAATAATATAATTAATTGCGTGTAACTGTAATCATAGCAGAGTGGCAAATGCCCGCAAGTTCATTTCACACATTTCTCATTCGACAATTTATTTATTTCRGTTTCACTTATTTTTGCACATATTTTATTCATTTTGATTAGCCGCCATAACAAAGTGCGAACGGCATGGCCTAAAGTGAAAGGCCCGCAAAAGAATTTGCATTGGCATAACAACAAAAGCAACATACATTTATAGCATTGCGTGAATTTAAACACATTGGCAATAAAACTGAAAGTGCGAAGATTTAGAAAATCTAAAAATAATTGTTTTTATTATTGTAAAAAATTTTAACATTAAAATTTCGGAAAAATTAAAAAAAATCGCAATAAGTACATAGACAAATGTTCGCAAAAAGATTACACAAATATTCACAAAAAATAACAAAAATATTTCAAAAGATTGCAAAAAAAAAACAAAATTAAATTCAGATAAAAATTTAAATGCTGTCAAATGCATAATATTTTTTGACTGGCACATTGTTCTCTGAAGCTATTGCGTGGCTCAAGTGCATTTTTTTGTTTTCGTATAAATATTGTATGTGTATAGTATGTATTCTTCAATAATAGAATTTATAGCGACTACAATAACAATAAATTAAATTGTGGTATTATGTGCAAATTTATGCAACCGAGCATTCCATTGTGCGCTCTGAATATGCAATCTGCACACAAGTAAGCAGAAATAAAATTATGTACAATTAAAAAAATATATATATTGTTTTTTTTTTTACTGATATTTATCCCTGTTTGTTTATGATTTAAGAAAAAATTTAATATTTTGAGAATTTTTAAACAGCGTTTTCATCTAGAAAAAATATTATTACTTCTTGGCGTTGATCCGATAACGTTTCGATTGCCGGTACTCATTAAATGTGTCGAATATAGCGTCACAAAGAATTTACTGTAACTTACTTATTACAAGAGATTGTCTGGAAGAAGTACTCGAGTATTTACTTTCAAACGAAACGTCACTACTCATTTTAGCAATAAAAGCAATACAGACAGATAAAAGGTGTTAAGCAATCTCCACCACAGAATATTGAGATATCATATAAGCATTAAACGAATATTATAACTTCGTGAACTTGTTTAGACTTGAAATTAATTTGATTAGCACGGTGATTTGAAATCAAGTTCAGCTATTCAAAAAAAGCAGAAACTATTTCAAGACTAAGAGTCCTGGGCATACAGTATGGATACAAATTGAATCATTACAAAATCAGTTTGTACCAATTTTAGTAACTTTATAAATCACATGTATACAGGTGTACATATGTATATGTTTATTATCATCACTTAATCGAAACCAATAAACACTCCTTTCACTCACCTTCGCTTCCAATTTCTGATTTTCAGTCTTCAATTCGTTGCGATCGTTTTCGATTTTCTCCAATTTGGCACGCAGCATTGCCAATTCCTCGTTCGCCGATTTCAATTGCTCCTCGGTACGGTGGACATTTAGCAGAGGCGTAACACGCACCAAGAGGCGCCACCAAGGCCAATCACGAACGGCGAGAAACGCTTTGACGTTACGTTGTATGCAACGTACGGCCAGCTCCTAGTAAAAACAAATGACAACAACAATAATAGCGTAAATGCATAAAAATTAATGTACTTAATAACAATGGAAATATTACAATAACAATAAAGTTGCAAGTGATTTCAAAAATATTTTAGATTGCAAAAATTGCTTTGCGATTATAAAATGCATAACTATAAAAATGTGGCAATGGACATACTTTTAAACAGGAAATGTATGTATGTATGTATGCATATTTACGTGCATATACATAGGTATGCATTGATATGGCATGTACATCGCTAGATTTATGACAGAGTGTCAGCAATGTATTCGCCAAAGCTGACAACTAACAAACTGCCAAGTATCACTAACTAGTTTGATCACTGTTGTTTTTGTTGCACATATTTTACCTATAATACACAGTATTTGTTACTGTTGTGCCATATTAACAAGTGGCTGCATCATAAGCGCACGAGTATCACCAACAAATCAATAAGCAGCAACGTGCAACGCGGAATGCATTTTAATTAATATTAATGCCCAGCAACAATTACATATCTACCTGAGCTTGGAGGAAGGGCTTAAACGATGTACACAGTACATATGCACAAGTGATCATCTAATTCAAGGTAACTCAATCGATAACAGTAATATTAAGCTTATTATTTTTATCGAAGTTATTTTCGTCTGTTAAGGATTTAGCGATAAAAAAGTGTCCTCTACCGGATTATGTAAATTGTTAAATAAAAAGAGAATTATTGGTTGTTCTCTCGAAAGTCGGTTCCCTGTAAACAGAACGCAGATTTACATTCAGCCTTGGGTTGTTAACTCCATATCATTCCCAAAAACGATTAGGGGAATATTATATACTACCGAAACAACAACCACAAAATGACCCCTCATTACTCGTAAAAATTTGATTCCTTTTTCAGTATTTCACTGTAAATCTCCACAATTTCAGGCCGAGCGCTTAATTTTTAGAAGTGTACTCTATTAATATAGTCAAAAGATGTCTCCTAATAAATGTCCAAGGTCTTATATAAAGGCAAATGATACCAACAGCAGAAAAATAAGTAAAAGAAATAATATTTTCTTTACGAAATACATTGTAAAGTAGTTGAAAGCGCATATAAATTGAGAAAATAATTGCTACATACAAACACTACAGGAGTGTGTAGTGTAAACTGCAGCAATTAAATTTCATCATAACGACCACACCCACCTGTACGCGTCGGCGTGCCACCTGTTTACGTGCCAAATAGCCGCGGCAATAAGCCTGCAACTGTATGATGCGATCCGACAACAGTTCATCACGTTTCGCCTCCAATTCACTCAGAACACCAGAACGGAATAAAATCTGCAATGAAGAAAAAAAAAAAAGAAAAATTACAAATTTATACGTGGCAAAATAGATAAAAGAGTATATGTGAAGATGTGAAAAATGGAAACAAATTCATAGCATGTAATTGCAAATACACATCAGGAAAGTGTTTCATTCGAATTTCTTTGGAAATGATCATAAGAACTATGCGATGATGCAATAAAAATGGGGTTCCAACATTTTCCTATGGAAAGATTTTATATGAATTTGTCATTTTACAAACGTAAATTGTTTGTGTGAATATGTGAATGCGCTCTAAAATTTTCTTTTCGAAATTCATGAAATTAAGAAAAAAATTATATTTAATATTTTTGTTTCGAAACACCGGTATGTTATAACACCTCTCCCGAACAATCGAAACGAGCATTTTTTTTTTTGGCGATCGACAAATGGCGTGTTCCCCACAATGAGCAAATATTTTTTACATTCAAATGTATATGCAATTTTGAATGTATGCTGTTCCTGCTAATACCTATAGTTGCGCCTACCTCTAGGTCACATGATGATCTGGTAATGCTAGTTTGCTCACAGCATCTATAGTTTCCGGAAAAATAACTGAAGGTCTAGCGTCCTTCATGAAATCTCCCTAGCAGTGATCTGCGACCTCGATTGCATTTACCATACCATCGATAAAAACTGGTAACTGATGAAGCTTCATCATCAAAAATTTAATGAAGTCCTTCGATGCATTGTTGCTAAGATAATCCACACCGAAAATTATGAAAAATAATCGAGTGAAAGCGTTTGCGAGTTAATTTCATTTTTGGCCAAGATGAATATTTAAATTTACTGTAAACAACACAAGTAGCAGTATGTCAAAACGTTCTGAGTATGTACTTTACAACCAAGTTGTCAGTTGCCAGATTGCAACACCAGGGTTATATACTACAATCGTACATTTGTAAACAGGAGACTTAAAAGTGGCTCTACAAAAAGTTTTCAAATATATATGTATTTCAAGAATAGTGCAAATGGTTATTTTCAAACGATTTTGAAAAAATAATTCTCTTTCTTGGAATGACCAAAACTGGGCGGTTGACGAATCGAACAAACGTCTCATATAACTTACATATACTGGCAGAATAAATTAGTGATTGAGTAGAAAAGAACTAAATTCAACTGATTAACTTTATTATTGCTTTCACAGCATATTTTTCGGAAAGTTGGCAATCAAATATACTAATTAGTTCAGGAAGTTTGATACATTAGACTTAGAACACACTTAACTAGACACTAGAGCATTAAAACACTTTTGATAATTATGTCAAAGGGATACCTTCATGCGACTTAAAGTTACTACTGATAACACTTAAGAGTCAATAAATCTGTACATTAACATAAATCAATGTAATAACCATGTTAAGTTTACCCCAAATACGATAAGCCAACAGGTGATGCTCATTTATATGATCAGGTGCAAAGCAAATTGGCTTATAATAGTGAAAAACATCGAATTTCATGGCACAAAAAGTAAACAAACAAATATTTCATCCCAAGTTTTCACTGAATGCAGGGTATTCAGCGTAAACACTCGTATGCACCTAACAGAAGGTTCGTGCGGTTGTCGATCGCAGGTCGCTAATGATGTAACAGCTTACATCCGAAAACGGAGAGTAAGAGTAAGTGAAAATAAAACAAATAAACAACATAATTAAAAGAGTATACATATAATTTAAATAAATAACACACCCAATAATGGGTGATGTAATGTGGCGGCAAGCATGAAAATATGCACACAAACATACATACATGTGCATATTATATGCTCGCGGGCATGCGTGTCTACCGGCATGTTCGTATGTAAATATATAGTTGTTGGCAACGCTGCCAAAAGCGGCATGAGAAAGTTGGCCGGATTTGATCGATGGGTCGATCAAACGGTAAGACCAAAGTAGCCACAAACAAATATGTAGCTGCGCTTATTATACGCGAAACACTCAAACGCCAATCAAAATTTATACGAAAGAGCAGGAAATTTAAACAACAAAAGCAACAAAATGGAAAGCCAAACAATCGAGTAATTAAAATACCTGCGAATTAATAAAAATTATAAGTTTCTATATACATACATATATACTACATATGCATGTGTGTCGTATGTTTGCATACATGTGTGAGTAGTACTTAACTGACAATAGATTTGAAGAAGCCCTAAACGACAAATCCGCATTTATCATCAAAGGCAGCGCAAAAGGCGCAAAGGCATTAAAACTCACAAAGCCACATACATACATACATGCCTACAAGCATACTCGCATGTTTTATGTAAATAATTAAAAAATAAATTTATAGTGAAAATGCAACGAGTTATTAAGTAATAAACGCGTAGGGCATAAATACTTGCAAGCACAAAAACGAGTCAACCAACCCGCCAACCGGCTAAGCAATCGATCGCCCGATCGTCGGTGCAGTCAACGAGTCTTACTCGACACATAACGACTTAAAGCGATGATTTTATGTTGATGCTGCGATAATAACAAATAAGGATGTGATGGCGAAGTTCAGCAACATTCACATGTATGTATAAACATTTTGTTGTTGTAGTGTCTCAAAGGCCAATTGTATAATCTTAAGTGCAGCAATAACAAATAGTGCGGATTCAGAGGAAATTTAAGCTTGTACGAGGGTAGTTTGATGAGTTTGGAACTCTAAATGCAACGCTGCAACTTCGAGTTATCAGTTTCTGTTTCTATATTCCGGTAGAAGTTATTGTAATCTCTGCTGTGAGAAGTTCTAATAAACCAAAATAATGGCAGAAGAAAACTAGGAAAAAAAGAGAATTTGAATACCCAAATATAATGGTGTAACATTTTACGTGCTATCTCTATTGGCCTATGCGAGGTATTTGTTCTATTCGCCGCTCTTCAAGGTTTTGACAATCAAAAACAACTTGTTGCTATTTCTACTAATTGTAGGCTTCTCACTTTATTGTGTATTGTGCTTTATTGCTCTTTGTAAGAGTAGGAAGTGTATTGTGAGATTAAGGCTTATCCTCAAAGTGGTTTCTAAGTATTCCAGTTTTACCGCTAGAACTCTTTTTTGTTACAAAAACAAAAAAAAAAAAAAAAAAAAAAAAAAAAAAAAAAAAAAAAAAAAAAAAAAAAAAAAAAAAAAAAAAAAAAAAAAAAAAAAATTGAGCGAAACCAGAGAAAGTATAAATTATATGCTCGAAAAGTGTTTTCCAAAAACTTTATGAGAGGTTGAACAACGATTCCAGCAGGTTGGTATGACAGATATACATAACTAATATATTAATTGAATGTAATGAGGCAAAGAGCAGACTGAGATTGAAACTCTCTAAGACATACATATCTCATTTTAATGACCGCCCAGTACTTGACTTGAATCTTGACGGTGATTTAAGTGAAGCTGAAACCTAAACTCTGTTTACTACTTTGATTCGTGCTTGATCTCTAATAATGGATCCATATTTAATTCAGTATTCTAATAAAATTCCTCGTATGTATATTAAAAGGCGCTAAAAAATGTTTTAAAAGTTTAAAGTTTTCTGTAGAGGTACGACAAAATATGGGATGCAAAAGAGCAACGGACATATCTACTTAAAAGCACTATAGAATTTCAACATTGTTATAAAGCATAAATGCAATATAGAATCTCTCAAAAAATCAATTAAAAAATTTTATGGTTTTGACCACGGTATTTTAAATATATCTAAAACATGTCTAAGCGGCAAGTGAATTAAGCTATTGTAGTAAAACAATACCAAGAGTAACATCTATATTGAGTGCCCTGAAGAATCTTGCCCAGATCTCGTAAAACAGGGAGCACGAACGGCTTTGGAACAAAAACAGCTCTCCAATCAAAACTTTATTATTTTCAAGACCTCACTGATTCAACTAACTTCCCTTGTCCTCACATATATCTGCAAGTATTCGCAATATGTATGGTATTGCAGATAGATGGACTATTTTATTGTCAGCTGGTAAGCTATTAACGCTGATACCAGCAGGCACATGTTTGACATAACTACACACAACAACTACAACAGAATAGTTAAATGGAAATAGTGCAGATAGACAACTCTCTGGCGGCTCCTACGTGGATGCCACAACACTGCTCTGCTTTGTTTTGCATTAATTATCGCTAGTCTATCGTTGAATGTCATTACCCCGGCGGTGTAATCGGAAACCTGTTTACGGTATAATAATAAAAGGGCTCACGCCCTCTATGCACGAGTCTTGCTAAACTTTTTATTGCGGATGGATGGACATTTTATGCGAAACCTATAATATTTATTTCCACTTGAGCAGATTCATTTTCATTTTCCTTTTCATTCGCCGTTTGATTTACAATCGCTTTTAGTAGCGCTGAGCTTTGCTTGCTACGGTCCAAATCTAGCCATTTCACAGATTTTATTATCATACAATTATTTGTATAGTCTAATTGGAATGGCGATGATGATAGCAGGCGGATTTAGTTAATTGCAAGCTGAATTCTCTGAAAGAAGAATCTGCTTAGTGAAGGCCAGACTCGCACATTTAGCTGCTGAGAGGCTGGACTGTCCTATGCTCCTATTTAGCTGATTTCAAATGACAGATAACTTCATCTATGGCGCTTGTCTTCCACAATGCGCCGAGAAATTTCAAAGACATTTTTGAATAGAAAAGAGTTCACGAGGTTGTGAACTTTAAGGGCGCTTTGGTGTACTACTAAGCACTTTGAATGAAATTTAACTGACTACGATTAGAAATTTCATATTTACAGACAAATCTCTAATACAAGCGTAACATAAGGTTTGAAAATTTTCAAAAGGAACTTTTCATAAGGTCTTAAAATATTTTCGATGAAGATTTTGGCATTAACAACAAAGGAAGAATACACGAAAAATAAATAAAAATTATATTATTTTAATGAAAATTATCTTTGTATTCATTATTCTCTTCCCTTAACAAACTCTATGCACCACGTCCGACTCAAATAAACTTTTCGCACGTTCATGAGTCACCATTTGTCAC